TATATAAATGACATTTAAACTGAATATTATTACTTACATTAAAGAATACCAATATGAAGAGGAAAAAACAAACAAACAACAAAACATCTGACAATACAGTTTGTCACTTTAGATACCTATCTCTAACCACATCTAAGAATTTATCACATTAAATATGATTCAATTTAAAACAAAGTTTTATTATAGGTGTGTTCTTATATTATGTGCATGTTCTAAAATCAACAGCAATACATAATAATAACATTTATTTTGACAGCAGTCTTATTGCAAAGGGGAGGGAACTTTTCGTATCTTTTTTATTGGCTCTTGGTGGTTTATATTATATCTGCTGCTGTTGCGTGATCTTCAAATTATTTTGTGAAGATAGAGGGTACGAGTGGTTTAAAATACTGTTATTTATTCTTTTCTACTTTTGTGCTTGTGGTTTTATACAGTTCACAAGTTTCATGAAAGTAATTATCAGAAATCTTGCTGACTGATTTGGTCGAAATTCGGTTTCAATGGCGGAACGTCATTGACAACACTGCAATGGAGAATTTGAAACCGATAGAGTAGTGCAGCGGTTTGGTGTTTTTACAGAGTATGATTCAATGTCAGCTGAAGACATCAATGCTGCAACATCAGCACTTGTTAATGTCTATCCACATGACCTCTCTCCTTACTTTCCAATGGAATTTAGACAGTGCCTATGTTGGGTGAAAGAGCAAGTACATCCGGATAATGCAACTGGAAGCGTTCAAAGCATTTTCAATCTGTCTCTAATGTCAACTAACTGCACTGGCGAACGTTCATTTTCGGAACTGAAACGCATAAAGTTTAAAGACGTTAAGCGTTCAACCATGTCTCAGCAGAGGCTAGGGACGCTAGCACTTATTTCAATTGAAAGCGATTTACTGCACAACGTCGACATTAACCAAGTCGTTGATGAATTCGCTGTTGCAACGACCTCCCATATATATATATATATATTGCTGACACCAGTTTCTGTATAACAGGCTGAGATTGCTATAAAACAGCCAGTCATTTCGAGGCCTTCAGAATAAGTACGGTGCTTTGCGAGACAGCGCGTCTATCATAACTCTCTCAGAGGGTTGAAACCTCGCCGAAGGTAGGACTGATAATTTATTTGTCTGTTTGTTTTTTGTTGTTTTTTTCTTTTACTACTTAGATCTATTTAGATGTAAAGTAGACAACTGCAAGATAGGATGATACTTTATTCTACGTGTGGGACATTTTTTTATGGCTTTATAGGAAAGGTGAGAGGGTGTGGTGGCGAAGCAGTTAGTGCGCTTGTCTCCGAAGCGGAAAGTCCAGGTCCGAGCCTCGGTTCGGACACGTGTTTTTATCGACCCCTCCTGCCCACCCAGCAGTAATGGGTACCTGACTTCGAGTTGGGGAAGTGAAGTGGAGAATTTGAAACTGACAGGCACACGCTGGACATTCAACGACACAAACTGAATGATTTAAGATCTGTAGTAAGATCAAATAAAGATGTCAAAACACCTTGCAAAGATGAGTAAGCCTTGGTGTGTGAAAATGTGTGTGTGTATGTGTGTAAGTGTGTGTGTGTGTGTGTGTGTGTGTGTGTGTGTGTGTGTGTGTGTGTGTGTGTGTGTGTGTGTGTGTTTGTGTTATGTCAATACATTATAATATATTTTGTATGTG